CCTGGAACAGATGATACAAATAAATAGAAAAGCAATGCTGTTACTCTAGCAACAAGAATTGTGAGATAATTAACTCTTGTCTGTCTGATCAGTTCTGAATTGTGCACTACACTGAATCTTGAAATATGCAGTGGCAGTGCCAGCTTTTGTGTCTGTGTAATGCTGGAAATACTTCAAAATCCTGAGAAGAGTGAGGAAGACAGTAAGTTCAGACCTTGGGGTTATATGGGAAATGGCTACGAGTGGAATCTCTGAGGGGCAGCTCTAAAGAATAAAGGAGTTCATTAAGGTTGGCAGTTCATGAAGAACAGTGTCTTCCAAATACAAGAACAGTCCAGGAATTCAGGTAGATCGATCAGGGGACTGTCTTGTCTTTACAGGGAACTCACTGCTGCACCCTAGTCCTAGTGCAGTATAAGGGAGGGAGAAGCAGGTGTGGGCTGCAAAGGAGGAATCCACAAACACTTGCCAGGCCTGTAGGGATGGTGTTTGGAAAGCCAAAGCTCACCTGGCGTTGATGCTTGCAGGGGATCAAGGTCAACAAGAAGAGCTTTTATGACTTTGTTAGCAGTAAAAGACTGAACAAGAAAAAAGCAGTCCTGTTGGTGAATGTTGTGAGTGATTTAGTAACATGGCTGGAGTAACACAGATAAGGCTGAGGTACTCAGTACCTTCTTTGTTTCAGTCTTTTCTAATAAGGTCTCTCAGGTCTCTGTACTCGGGAAGGGTTCAGGGAGAACACCAGCAGTGGATGAAGAGCAAGTTAGAAATCAACTGAGAGTTCTAGACCCATACAAGTCCATAGAGCCAGATGGGCTGCATCTGAGGATGCCAACAAAGCTGCCCAATACCTCTGCAAGGCTGTTCACTCACCTTTGAAAGGTCTCAGAGAGCACAGAAGGTCACAGCAATGGAAGGCAAATATGTCACCCATCTGTCAAAAGAGCAATCTAGGAAACCATAGGCTGCTCAGGTCCACTGGGCTCCTTGGAAAAATCGTGGAGTGAGTCCTCTTGGAACACGTTTTTGGGTATGTGAAGGAGAAGAGGGGGACTGGAAACAGTCAGCATGGATTTGCCAAGGCGAAATCGTGCCTGACCAGCCTGGTTGCTTTCCATGATAGGTTTGTGAATAAAGGAGGAACAGTAGTGGTCAGTAGTGACTTTAGCAGGGCTTTCAGTACAGTCTCTCACGGTACGCTTGTATTCAAGCTGGGATGTTACAGTCTAGATGGGTGGACAACCAGATGGGTAAGAATCTGGTCATACTCTACGTGGAGGCTAGTAGCAAGTGGGGTACTGGAGAATTCTATATTATGGCCTGTTTAGTGTCTTTAGCAGTGATCTGGAGGCATTGGAGTGCACTCTTGCATGCAGAAAACACCAAACTGGAGAGACCAGCTGATATGCTTGAGGGCAGGGCTGCGATACAGAGGGACCTAAACAGGCTGGAGGAGTGGGCTAATAGGAACCTTATGAAATGCAGCGAAGTTGTGCACCTAGGAAGGAAAAGCCCTTTGCAACAGGACTGGCAGGAAAGCAACTTTGCCAAGAAGAAAGCCCAAAACTAAGAAAGGAACAAAAAAATAAAAGGGAATTTGGAAGGTGAAATATGAACAAGGGTGTTGATGAGAAACATCCTGCAAGGCAAGTAATCAGAGAACTGGGAATCCTGACTCCTCCTTATCTCCATGCTTCTCCTGTGTTGTGGTGATTTGTGTCTCCAGTCAGGTCATTTGACTTTTGTCCCATCACACTCTCGCTCATAAATGATGGTGATCTGCTTGCAACATTCAGTAGACCTTTGAGTTCCTTGGATGAAAAGTGTCTAGGCAGGAATAAATCTTAAAAGCTAAGTGACTGATACTAAGAACAAATAGCGAATGGTGTTTTTTTTCCCAGTAAGCCGGATAGTATAGTGCCTTCAGAATGTTATAAGCAAGTAAAAATGTTAATGTGAATGGAAACAATTAAAGCTGGGAAGTGAAGGAGCAGTGTACTGGGGAGACATTCCTCCCCTTTAAACGCAAGAGGGAAATGTGGTATAGTCCCAGTTAATGTAATTGCTTTGAGCAGTGCAGGGTTGAGCCAATTTTTCAAATGGTGTGCAAGATTTCTATCTTGCCTACTTTTCATTGGGTTGCTAGACTGATGAAGTGGACTTCTTTGCTTCCTTCATATGGTTCGTTATAGAGTAAATGGCCTGATGCCGGTTGCTGAGGTAGAGTCAGAAGAAAAACCAGGTAATTTGTAAATATCCTCTCGGTATGCTTACCTAAAGAAATCTTGCTAAGCAGTGATGTAACAAAATCTTACTGTCGTGGTTGTTCCACTTGGGGTAGCAGATCTCAGCAGTTCTGCAGATGGGAAAATGGTTTGGTGAGGGCTTAAATCCTTGTGTTCTGGTTCTTCCTGTTCATGCACAGATAAAGTTTCTATGTGCATATTCTTCCATGTGAAAGTTGTGCATAACTAAACAGTAATTTACTATAGGCTGTGTTAAGGGTAAAGTAGGAGTTTACTTTTCTGGCTGGTCATTCATCTACCTACTTCCTGCCTTTTGAGGGAAGTATGGAAGTTGGGTATACATACATTAATTCTTTGGAATAAAGTATTGCTAGCTTTCACCCATCTTCCTCCCAAACACATTACTGCTGCTTTAATTTTGTTTAAAGTTGTGAGTATACCACAGGTTCTTCTGCTTCAAAAGACATACAAGACACACAAGTGATTAATTCAGTCACAGGAAAACCCTTGGTTGAGGAAAAACACATGTAGCATTCTGACAAATACACAGCTTCCAAAATTTTAGTCTTATTAAAAAAAAGGGGGGGGGGGGGAGTTAAGCAGCACTGAAATATCTCAGCCATCTCTCTGTGTGCTATCACTTAGTTTATTTCCCAGTATAGAACTGAGCTTAGCATTGCAGAACATAAGTAGTTCTGCTGTAATGGTTGTCAAGTTTTCCCCTGCTAGTTCTTATGGAACCTGCTTACAGAGAATTGAATTCATGGGTTTGGGGGTCAGTATATAATCTCTTCTGTATTTTGTGGCTGGCTTCTTCAGAGATAACTTAATGCAGATATGCTAATTGCATTTTTCTTTATGCTTAAAATGACCAATGTGCAAATGTTACTTCAAGACTTCAGCTGACAAGCAGTAAGCTTCACATATCCTAAAAGTGAAGAGTATGGGATAGGTAATGCAGTGTGAAAACGGTTAAGACCAGAGACAGTTTCTGGCCATAAATACTTCTGGTAATTTTCAAGTCCTTTTGCTGTTCTTTCCAGTTAAGATCTTTGAGAATTCACACTGTTATCCCTCAGCAGAAGCTAATTAGATAATTCATGCTATACGTGCTTGTTACAAAAGAGAATAAAATACCTGTCAGCTCTGTTTCTGAGCTATGTGCCTCGTTTTTAATCTGCTTTCAGCTTCTGTGTGCAAAAATCATTTTTAGTCATCCATTTTTGCAATGTTCTGTCATGTATCTAAACTAAACACGGCAATAGGTCCTCAGGATGTCTTGCTCAGTTGCATTTCAGGTTGTTCATTTCCAGAGACATTTGGGTTTGTATGTACTTTGTAAAGAACTCTTGTTGTTGGTCTTTGCAGTTGTTATTAGTACAAATTAATAATTATATTTTAAGTACCATGTAAAACAAAGGCAGCCAGAAAGCAAGCCAGAATAACAATTCTGGTAGTCTGATTTGCATAGAAAATGCTGCCCATGTGTAGGAGGGTTGCTGGTTCTTCTTTAAAGTTATATTTTAGATTTTTGTTACAGATTTAAAAGTAACTACTTGGGGATAAAGGGTATGTGGGAGGCATTGCCTTAAGCTTCTGAAACTCCTGAAGCTGAAGATGCAATAGAGAGCTTTGAAAGGATAAATATTGTAGTGCAAGTCATTTATTGAACTTGTCTTTTTTAAAAACCAAACAAAACCAAACAGCTCTTAATTAGCTTTAATACCATATTGGCAGTCTTTTGGACAGGCAGTCCATTCTCTTCCAAGATAAGATACTAGTGATGGGAGTTCTCTCCATACTTGCACACATTTTGCACATACAGTGCTTCTGATTAAATTGTTACCATTTTGAATAAAAAGGTTTACTTCCTTCTCTCGCCCCTTTTTTTCTTTTTTTTTCTTTTTATTAAAGATGTACTTGCCGTGTACATGGTCTCACACTGTCATTTTTTCAGAAGCAGCAGCAGAAGCAATGGATTATTTCTGACTTGCCCATGCAACAGTAAGGAGGAAAGGATAATGCAGTAAAAACTAGTATTTAGGAATTCTCTGAGCTGGAACTCGTAAGTTCAGGAATCTGGCAGTATATAGGCTACTAGACTGTTTCTAGATCTTATCACCTGCCAATTACAAATCCATCTAACTTCTTACCGTATCTGCTCTATTAGTATGCGTAGTTGTTCCAAACAGGAGACTTTCATTGGTCATCTGTGAATCTTTTCTGTATTTTTATTTATATGTGCATGTATAATATATACAAAGAACACATTTAATAACATGTCCTTAAAATTCAGCTTGTTTCAGTCTGCATAAGATAATTTCTGTACTGGACAATGCTGTAAGCTGTGATATTTGCATAACACCCTAAACAAGACCACCCTTCCTCAATGACTTGCAGTTGGTGACCTTGAAACCTTCTGGGCTTACAGCAGCAACTTTGTTCTCCAAATAGACCTGGCTGGCTTCTTTTTTCAGAAAGCGGGAAATCTAAGAGACGTTATTTTTGGATGACTGGGTGAAACAGTGCTTCACATGTGTTTTTCTGCTATGAGGTTACTCATTGTACGTTAAGCACTTCTTTCCAGGGAGACAAGGATATTCTCTCCCAGAACTTGAAGGCAGAGCCATTAGCTTTCATTTTATTAGTCCAGAAAACCTTCTTGCAGTAAGAAAGAGGGATTGATTTCTTTTCTACAGTGGTGTCTGTGCCTCAGCAAATCCTGAAGATGGCATTGGCTTTCTGCTTCTTTCTTCATTCATCTTCAACATCATCCTCTGCTCTCTGATTCCTTGTAGGTATCTCCTTGGAGGGTTCATTTCTCTCTTCTCGCTCCCTAAAACATTGTTCAGGAGTAGAGACGTTAATGAAAACCAGCTAGAAATTTTACTGAAAAGATTTTGTGTTAGAATGGTTTTAGGCTGCTCTAAGCTGACCTGGAAGTGTACCAAACTGAACTCCATAAATTAAGTCTTGCTGATGATGCAAAGGGTGCATGAGCTACTTTTTTTTCCATAGCATGTGTGTAGAGAAAGGGTGACTGGTGTACCTTTTCTCATCCCACTTTTCTTCGACTGGTCTGTTTTCATCATGAGAATAAACAAAAGGTTTCTATCTTGGAGTGATAATTCTGAATACAGAGCCTCATGATGATTTAGGTTAGCAAGGACAGAAATAGCTATAAGGACTCAGAAAAATGAGAAACAGTCTGGGCTTTGCTTATCAAGTAGCTGTGCATGCTTAACTGACTTGGGATTGCTAATTCACTTCCAAGGTTTGAATGTTTTGATTCTACCCCAGAGACCACAAAGCTGTCTGGTAATACTGGGTATATTTTGTGAGAACAGATGGGAGCCACTATGGTAGAAACTGAAAGAAGAAAGCAGCACATGCTTTCCTTGATTTCTTTTTTTCTCCCATGCTTTCCACTCCATACGTTGATGCTGGAGGGAGAACATGAACCTTTCATAGGTCCCATCTGCTTTTCTAGAGAGAGGTACTTACGTCATCTCATAGTCCTTGTCCTTGTCCGCCCGACAGCAGCAGCAATAAGCTAAAATACCAATAATTATAATTGCAGCAACAGCTCCACCGATGACACCAGCGTAAAGAGCTATGTTCATGGATGCTATACAGGAAGAAAAGAGTTAGCCCTTTGCTCTAAGAATGATACCAGATGCAATCAGCACAATCACTGGACTTCAAATCCCACCACCAGATGTCAGATCTCACTACCAGATCCAGACTGAGTGGAAGCCACATTTATGTGACTACAGTGACTGGAATTAATTCTGTACTGGGTAGCTGATAAGTCTACAGGAGCAATTAGTTAGACAGTGATAGGGAGGAGCCCTTGGATCTGAACAGCTGTTGTACTTTGTCGATACAGTTTAGTTTCAGACTTTGGCTGCTCAATCCTGTCTCACTCTACACATTTTTTTTTTGTCATCTGAGTTAGTGAGTGCTCTTTTAGCATGTAAACCAATGCAGAGAATCGATCTTAAAAGGTAAAAAAAAGTGTGCTATTTTTTTGAGAGAAAGCAGAATTTTGTACTTCTGTCTGCATTGCCTCCGTTAATCCTTTGACACTTAGCTAGGATACTTTCTCTGGTACTACTCTTCCAGTAAGCAACCCCGTCTCTTACGTGGCAGAACGCTGACTGTCATGTTACAAGAGTTCTTTCCCACAATGTTTGTTGAAGTGCAGATGTAAAATCCAGAGGTATCCGCCGAGATGTTCTTCAGTGTTATTTGTTCCCCTGTTGTGAAACACAAATCCAGTCCAAAAAAGAAAAGACTTAAAGCAGGGAAGGAAATGAGGACAGCAGCCCTTCAATTCCAGTCCAGGGTAGTTGGAGTGATGAGAGGTTATTAAAGCTGATGGATTGCTCTCTTGCTCGGGAGCTGCCATGCTAGTCCCTAGGTTTTAGTGTGATTTGTGGGAGGACAAACGGAAGTGTGCTGTTTTGATTATAGAGAACATGTGGCATTTGAACATTCCTTTTAGAAAGAAAATTGTAGGTGGAGGGTAAAGAAGTATGTGTCCTTAGTGAAAGCTTTTTTGCATTGGATTTTGCTGAGAAATATAAGATGACCCAAACCAGCATCTGGCTTTGAGAACTGGCCATCTTAACTTGTAAAACAGCAAAAAGCTCTTCAATCCTCCAGCCCTTAGGATTTCAGATCTGAATTATTTAGCAGTGGGGGAAATAGTTTTCTAGTCTAGGAGAGGCCACACAGGCTGTGAAAATAAATGAAGGAAAAGAAATGCAATGACATGGGATTGCTTATGATGCTGCTCTTTTCTGTACAACCTAACAGACCTCAGAACTAGATGCTAAAGCTTAGCTCTGTCTGCTCAAGCAGTCAGTTTTTGTTTGTTACATCTCCAGCTGACATTTGTATGTGTAGTCCATGCTTTTTGCTTGTGATCTACTGATAAAGGTCAAGATTCCTGCTCTAAAAGCAAAAGGCTCTGAATACTTTTCAGTGACTTCCCTGTTTTATTTTCCCTGTGATCTCACTTCTTTCCAGCCCACTGTGGGACTAGGATTCTGTTTGGTCTCTGCTGGCACCTAGCGCCAGATGGTAAAAGAGCATGCAAACCAAGAAATAACAGACTGCATACTTGATTTTTATTTTTTGTTTAGTCTCTATATACCATCCGTGCTTACTTCTCTCCTTTTTTTTTTTTCTTTTTTAGCAGCGTGATGTTTATAGCTCTCAGAGTTGCAGTCTACAACTGGACTGTAAATCCTCCTATGTTAAATCAAAAGTAATTGACTGGTGAGTCAAATTGGGAAAAACGCAGGTCAGATACTTTCAATTTTGAGGTGGCTCCTAAGGGGATTCTGCACACTCTGCAGCATGGGGACTTGCTTAGCACAGAAGGAAATTGCTTGTAGCGACAGTGGGATATCCAGCCAGCTTGGGGTAGAAGGGGACAGTCAGCACACTACTTGGACATCAGTGCTCTGAAAGAAGCACCGAAAGAAAACAGAAAAGAGGTGGAAATGGATCAGAAGAGACTCCTGTCCTGGGGAAGAATAGGATGACGACAGAAGCAGGCAGGCAGCTGCTGCTATAAGATGACAAATCCTGTTATGTTCAGGGCTGTGCGTGATGTGTTGGCACCACTTAGTGGCCAGTCAAATGAATAAGGTTTGTAGCCCTGGTGATATTTAATCTTTTGCATAATTTATGCAAGAATCAGTTAGTGTGTGTTGAATATCCTGTCAAGTCTGCTCATATATAGTTTACCTCCATAGCGATGCTACAGTAAGTTAAAGCAGGAAAGGCAGGTTCAGATACTCAGTCTTTCTGGAGCTGAATGTACCAGGAAGAAACAAAGTTGTTTAACGGAATAAATCAGAGTCCTCTGTCACTACTACACTTCAAAGAGTATTAAACCCTCATTTCTGTGTGAGTAGTTCTACCAAAGGTCCTGTCATGGAAATCCAGTTCCTTTTTTTTTTTCCAAGATTCTGACTTAAAATGAAAGCAAATAAAATATTGGAGCCTGTGTGACAGTCCTAAAGAACCAGAAGTCTCTTTCATGAAAAAAAGTGTAACTGTTTATCATATCACATTCCTCTAGATGAGGAGTCATCTCTGGAAGGAAAGTAGCTTCCAGAGCCACCTTATGTTTGCCTTTACCTCAGAAAGTGCCCTGGTCATTGTTGAGCAAGCTGGGATACAAAGACACACATAGAAAACTCAATGTTATTCCTCCTGTTATGCCCCCCTTACACCCAGCAATTGAGAAGTAATTATTTTTGGCTGCTTCCAGAGTGACCCAGCCTTCTTGCCAGGTGAGAGCTGAAGTGAAAATCTCACTGACCATTGTTACTTCAGGTAACAGTCCTTTTCCCCCTGGTAAGTTACTTGTGAGTGTGTCTTGTATCAAAAGGACAAGTTTTCAAAATCCTGGTCAGAGAACTTCCTAGAAAAAGCCTTAAGTGTGTTTTTGTGTTTGCATTTCAAAATCTTTCCAACCCTGACCTACAGAGAGCTCAAAGATGTACTGTCTTTGAATTCCCCATACCTTGTGTTGTTTGTAGTACACGGGGCTCATTTTGTATATTGAAGCTTTGCCAGGTATATCTTGGCGTTGGGGAGCCCTCATGAGAAATGCAGGTCAGATTGATTGTCTGTCCATATTCTGCTGTCCCCAAAATCTTGCATTCTGGTTTGGATGGTGCAACTGAAGGAAGAAAAAAGGAAGGAATTTTATTAATCGGAAGTATTTTTTTGTTTCAACCCTTCTCCTGCACCTGTGGCTTTTATTCTTGCTAAACAGAGGCTGGTCTTGCACCTACCACCTTCTTCTCAAAGGAACTGGAGTGAACTTGTCTCTAATTTGTTTCTCCCTTCTTGGCACTGGTCAGCCAAGAAAGAATTGCAAGATGCTTTTTGGGATATGTCTAATAGTGTTGGGTAACTCATCCTTTGATAACTGGAGTATGACAAGCCACAGGGGCCCTGCAATGAGGCAAAGGTTGTTAGGAAAGTGAACTATAGAATTCTAAAGGCTATTTTCTATAGTCAGGTATCTAAGGGAGTTGGGTGCTCTAAGCCTTCCAACCTACTTCCATAGTAGTAGAAAAAGACCAAAGATGGAATTGCAGATGACAACTTCCTGGGAAGGTTTTTTTGTTAGAACACCTGTTGTCTAAAACAATGTTGATATTAGAGGAAGGACAGTTTTATCTAATGGATCTGGTGTTGCCCCCATCATACTTACCAAGAACGAAGAGAGCTATGCTTGCGGTCTGCCTGGGGGGGTCACTGCGTAGACGAACGTTGCATGTGTATGTCCCATTGTCCTCCATGGTCACTGCGTTCATGGTGATACTGATGTCCCCTTTGTTTACATCACCACTAAACTGTATACGGTTTTCATACCCCTGGCCATACTGTACAAGTCCATCAAAATACCTAGTGACAGCATCATCCTGATAGAAAGAGAGGGAAAATGATCAATCTTAGTTTCTTCTGTGTGCATCTACAACCTGACTCAATGGATTAGCCTACTCTTAAGAGAAGAGCAGCTTGGAAAAAGAGGACCTTAAACTGCCCCCCTTTGCCAAAAAGCTGAGAAGAAAATAGAAATTCAAAAGAGTCTGGGTTTCTGTCTGGAATATCCTTCTCTCACCTTATCTGAAGTCAGAGACAACTAATTTCTTTTGCTGAGGCTTATTCACTGTTCCTCTCCATGACAGGACATGGTGAGACTTGTCTGAGATCTATATGTCAATCTAATTCCCCTATGGTTACACAAACTCCCTTGCTTTCTTCCAGCAAGGACGTTGAGAGAAGAAACCCTTGGATCTAACTGCAAGGAGATCTCCAAAGGCTGCTTCCCCTTTCATGAATTCCCAAGAAGTCAAGGAGAACTTCAGAGGTCTCTTTACCTTCAAATAGTCTGTATGAATGTAAGAGACCTCAAGAATCTCTCCATGTACTATTATCATCAACTTAAAACTTTTTATATAGTATCAAAGATATGTGTATATATAAATATATATGTATAATACATATAATACATT